TTACTTTGTTTTCACAGCATAGGAGACAAAGAAACCCCGTGTGTGAGTCCTGCGTGCAGCTGAAGGAGCAGAAACAGCTCTGTCTAAAGGGAAGCAACTGGTCATGTGGGTGCTGTTGGTCACCGGTTGCAGAAGCACAGGACTACATAAGAGGTGTTTCAGAGGTTGGGGAGGTGACCCAGTAAGCCCAGGTGCTTTCCCGTAAATCAGAGCTTGGCTGTGGCGAGAGCAGAAATAAAGCAAAGGACTAGCAAAACCAAGGCTGTCTGAGACCAGTCTCAATACACGACAGGCACAAACTGCCCTTGGGTGTGCCTTTGTCTCCAGAGGTTGCAGTGAGTCAGTGGGATGGAGGGGGAAGCGCGCAAATGGTGCCTGTTTGGTTTCATGAATACTTTATTCTCTTTGTTCTTTATTTTCTGATGATAAAGGAGCTTTATGTGGATATTGTAGCAAAGGAATTGACGAGTCATAAGGTTTGCAATTTCATTTCCCCCTCCGCTCCTTATGGTTTTTTGCTGATCCTCTCATCTCCTTCCGTCCCACCTTGCTGGCGCAGCAGGACGTGCTGTGCCTTTAAGAAGCCTGTTTTTTCAGAAGACTAATTCCTGAGCTTTGGCATGTGTTGAGGCATGCCCTAGGTTTTGTGGTGTGGTTTATGAAAAACTGAAGTGCATTTGTCTGGGGAGGTTTTTAACTCCTTTCTGCCATAGATACACTTTACCTCTTTGTCCTTCGCTTGCGGAGCGTACACCATTCAGCATTTCCACAGGGATGTCTGCTCTCTTCTCCAAAAGAGGAGCGGAGATAAAGTGAAGTAGCGGGTGGTAGGGTTTGGTTTTTTTTTTTTTATGCCAATTAACGTTTTTATTTATTGTTTTTTGCATGGCAAAGCTCTGGTGAAGAAAGCTGAGATAGCAAATTCTCTTGCTGATTATATCCTCCCACTGGCACCAGTATCGCTGCAGTCTTAACCTGTCATTGCAGTAGCAGAACAGTGTAGCTGACAAAGCGTTGACCCATAGCAGTCGCAGCATTGGCAGCTTTATTATGAATTTTATAAATTGTGATTTTTTCTTAACGTTCATGAACATTACATTTGCTGCCTTTCCCCTCATCATGGTCAAAAAGAAACTTTTAAGAAGGCAATATGATTGTACCATAATTGTACCATAAAAATTAACGTAGCATTACATAAATAAAATGTAGGGTTTTGGTTTGGGGTTTGTTGTTGGTGGTGGTTTTCGGGGTTTTTTTAAGCAAATCTCATTCTTTCGAGACCAAGTCTCAAAAGTCTCAAGCTGGGGAGGTTTGCCTGGATTTTTTTTAAACATGTGCTAGGGGTAGCAAGATGGTCTTTGAACCACATCTCCCAGCAAGAACGTTGCAGGCATAACAGGCATACCGGGAGGTAACTACAGAGCTACCCTTGGTGATTATTTTCAAAGCCCTGTTTGCTATGAGGTACTGGATCTGTATGCTAACGCTGTCTTGTAATAACAGCATAAAACCTCTTGGGCTGTCAGCCTATATTCGTGTACCTGTACATTGTTTTAGGCCTCAAGACAGCAAGGAAGTCCAAGTGAGCAGAATTCTCCTACGACTCCGGCACCGTGGCGGCTCCAGGACGTACTGTGCAGTCACCTGCAGGATGTGGGCCCAACAGATGAAAGGATGGTTTCTAGTAAAGACAGGCCTGTTTTTATGAGGAGAGATGTTGGAGGGGAAGGGACAGAGCAGGAGCTAGGGCTGGATGTGCCTTCAACACTGAGGTTGTGTGGCTTTGATTAAATCACTTCACTCACAAGAAACCTTCAATTCAGAGGTTAATTAGCACTGTGTATGGCATGCTGGGATTAAATTAATTAACGTAACAGTACTTCACAGTCTCGGCTCTGTGAGTGTGCTTAATGCAGTTGCTATATTTAAGAAGCTCGTTATTGAGCCTATGGGAGAGTCCCTGCCAATCCCCCGTCATCCTCTCCCTCCCAGTTTGTCAGGTCTGTGCTCTTACCCCTCTCCATGATCAGTAGCGAGCAAATCCCTGCTGCTTCGCCTCTCGATCCTGAAGCAGTGCTGTATTGTACCAGCTCTCTTCACCAGTGGCTGCAGAGGAATGGCTGCACTGCAAGCCCTGGTGAGAAGCTCTGTCTTGTGCATCGCTCTCCACTCTCCCGGGCCCAAGTGGTCCCTGGCTACCCAGTCCCAGCAGCATCCCCTCGGTAGCATGCTGGAATGCGAGGTCCCGGGGTCTCTTGACATCTCTGCCACCTGCTCTAGGGGCAAGTCACATCACCTTTCTCCTCTTCACTGTTCATGCTGAAGTGGGATTGTATCTTTTGCCTTCATACCCAGGAGCTGCTCAGAGCAGAATTAATGAATGCCGGGAAGTCAGGGATGTCTGTGGATGCACAGCACAATGTAAATGTGAAGTATTACTCGGTAATTAAGGGTGGAGGTAACCCTTGTTGAGAAGGATTAATATTATCATAAATCAACATTTGATCAGGTGGAACTGTGGGAAGAAGTGTACAGACAGCCTGTCCTCTGTTCCCTCAATCGAAAGTTTTTCAGGAGACTGGAACGCTGCTTCTCCGACGTGCTTTGTGCATGCGTCGACTGGTTACTGAGATTGATGGGGTCGCATAAAAATTGTCTGACTTCTATAGGTGTAATATTTCAACATACAGA